ATATTAACAGGGTTGGAGTGCATCTTATCACTTAAGGTGAGGGCTTTTTGTTATGAATGAATGACCTCTAGTTTCTTCAACCTTGCTAGTCGAAACTTCTCGATGGCGCATAAATTTGGAAAAGGAGTAGGCTTTCATGGTGTCAACCCAGATCCCACTTGTAGGATCACATTGGTTGTTGTTGTAACTAACAGGCAAAAAGAAACCAACAAATGCAGTAGCTTGAAACAAAACAATTGGTTGTGAATTACCAAAATTTTGATATGTTCCCATGTCCAAATGTCAGTTTAACACACACCCATAACTAAAAATTAAAAGAATTTATATATATATATATATATATATATATATATATATATATATATATATATATATTTGAAGGGGAGCCTTGGCGTAACTGGTAAAGTTGCTACCATGTGACCAAGAGGTCACGGGTTCGAGCCGTGGAAACAGCCTCTTGCAGAAATGCAGGGTAAGGTTGCGTACAATAGTCGGGGCGGAGCTACAGTAGAGTGTGCGGGTTCGGGCGAACCCAGTAACTTTTTTTTGGACCATGTATTTTTGTTGAAAACATTCGTCTTTATATTTATAAAACACGCCAAAGCCAGTAACGAAAGGGGTTTGGGTTCAGCGGCAAAGGTTCTGTTTCCAGGGAAAATGCTTGGGTACGAATCCCTTTGAAAGCACCGCTTCTTTCTACTACTTTTTCTTTTAAAAGAAAAAACCTAACTAACAAAGAAATAAAACAAACGTTTTCTGTTACTTTTTCTTTAAAAAAAAAACTAACTAACTTAAAAATAAAGCAAACGAAGTTCCAAAAGTAAAAAAGAAACACTTTTTTTTAAAAAAAAAAAAACTAACTAACTAAGAAATAAGAACTAGTTTTAGGTCACGGTCTTATTTTAAAATTTAGAACCCATACACTTTAAATCCTAGCTCCTCCTCTAAATAGACCCTTGTGGTCCGACTCTTCCCTGGTACCCGCGTATAGCGGGAGCTTAGTGCACCGGGCTGCCCTTTATATAAAAAGAAAAAAAAAGAACATAATGTTTGTACACCAAGTTATCATAGTTAAGTAATAACTTGAAGTAAGAATCTATATTGATTAGTCATAGTTAAGTAACAAATTCACGTAAGAATAGTTTAACTCATAAACTTCATGTAAAGAACATGTCATTGCAGTTATTCATTTGGTGCATCTGTGCATGTATCAAGTGAGATTTAGTGCATCTGTGCATGTGAAGAAGAAGAAGAAGACTGGATATGATTCTTAAAAAACTAATATGTTTTAAATAGGGGTGCCCAAAATGGCTACCTGGTGTCATTGCAACCCCCGAACTAGCCCATTAAGAGCTTGAACTGGACAAGGCCAGTCCACAACCCGCATTATTGGCCAGGTCAGTTACAGTTAAGGGTGGCATGTGGGCCGGTCCTCCCTGGCCGGTCCCAATTTAAACGGGCCTCGCAGTCCCGATTCTGGTGGGCTTTTTGTAGGAGCCGGCCAGGGACTGGACCTACGAACTCATAGTCCCGGGCTAAGTGGGCCGGTCCCGGGCATAAGTGGGCCCAATAGATACTATTTTTAATTTTTTTTTATAGAAGTTAGAGAAAAAAAAATGGTAATAAAAATACCTAAAGCAATTCCTTGTAAATTATATTATATAATTGTGACCTAAATTTTTTAATTCAAATTTAAAGACAAAAATATTGTAAAGAGATACTCAACGTTGAGTTTATGGGGTTTCTATATTCATCTGCAACAACTAAACTTTCATACATGTAATTCCATCTAGTTAGACTAGGTTTAGGAACCTTTCTTTCTCTTAGGCCAAATTCATCGCATCTTTTAAAATATTCTCTAAGTCTACTTCTACGGTTTGAATAAAAAAGCCAGTAACGAGCCATTTTAACCTTTTCAATTTCAGTATTTAAAATCTCATACTATCACCCACAATTAAATGGTAAATATGACAAACACATCTAACATGAAAAATGTTTCTAAATACAGGACTTAGTGTAGTGGTAAGCAAGGCTACAACGTTTGTGTTACTAGTAGCATTATCTATTGAAACTGACATGATTTTATCACTAATGCAAAAATATCTACAAATATCCGTAACTGTGCTAGCAATAAACTGCCCTGTGTGACGTGAATTAATTATTCTATAAGCAATAATGCGTTTTTGCATTATCCAATCCTCATCAATCCAATGATTGGTAACAGTAAGGTAATCACATCATTACCACTTCTACCAACATCAATTGTAATAGTGATCTCGCCCAACTATGCCCTATAAAAGGACACGCGGACGTTGCAAATATAATCTGAGTATTTATGTCCAGAGTCGAACCCACAGGGAATTAACCTATCAACTACTTTCCTTGGACTTACTAAATTCTACGGAATCAACTTTCCCAAACGGTGTAAATAACAGTTGATGGTATTACTAATAACTAAAACTACAAGTAAAGAAACAGCTGTAAACTAAATATGCTTGAGTTGTAAACAATACTGAGAAGGTTCTAAGGTAGTGATTTCCCCTGTTGATAGAATCCCTTCCGTTTATGCTTCATATAGATTTACCAAAACATCTCTATCAATCATGAGCACTCTTTTTACCGTAAATCTCTCCCGAGTAATCACGATAATTTACTAGACGCACTCTCCCGAGATACGCTAGCTAGCTTTGTTTATTACAGCTCACTTTAGATTGCACCCAAGGCTTTGTTATCCCTAAACCCGCAGTTATAGATCCCTCTTATACTTTGGGAGTGATGTTGTCCAACAACTACCTAAATATGCACTCTCTCCCGAGTTAGCACACTAAATAGGCACAGCTAATTGAGGATCATGTCAATTAACTACATCAAACACGTAGTTGAACAAATAGAGATTAAACTGGCAAACTATATTAACATAATCAAGAAGTTCATCCTTCAATAGGTTCCATCAAAACCCTAGACAAGGGATTTAGCTACTCATACTAGTGTTCATCAGAATAATATTCAAATTCATCACAAATCTTAAAAACAAAAGGAAGAAAAGGACAACTCGTTGGTGAATAATCCTCCTTGCCTCTTGCCTCTCTTTTTCTTTCACTAACCTTATGAAAAACTTGATAATACATCCTTGGGCGAGCTTGACCTTCTATAGGTTAAGTGAATTTTCCCCCAGACTTTCAAGTTTACCCCTGAAAATTGGTCTTCCGGAACTGGACTAACGCGGGCGCGCTAAGGCCGCGCTAATGCCCGCGCTAGTGAGGTTTCCCTCTGCCATGCCGAACTTCATTCCCTTAATTCGCCCACTAGTTCCAATTCTTGCCCGGATCACCATCATAAGTCTTCATTTGGGTATTGCACTCCTGTGAAACACAAAAGTCACCATTAGAGCCAATTATTCATCATTTAACTATTTTATAACATTGAAACATGATAAAGCTGGGGTAAAAACAATCGCCAAATTATATAAATCTAGCATATTATCAACACCCCACACTTAAATCATTGCTAGTCCTCGAGCAATCCACTACACTCTATAGAGGTTCCTTCACTAAACATTCTTCTCTAACGCATCACACCAAGAACAAATCACATGAGTTACGCCTAGTAGTGAACAATCTTAGCCTCACAAGTCGACTCTCACGTGCCCTGCAATATTCATACTTTCTCAAGCTACTCTACACAGAAGTCAAGACTCGCCTCTCCTTCATGAATCACATGCCCTCACATTCACACAAGAGAGTAGTTCCACATATAATGATATTCAGAACAATTAGGAACTTTAAATGGACAAAATTCGCTCACTCTCAAAAGAAAACATTCACATGTCACAAAGATGAACCATAGGCTTGCCCGTAGTGTACTACTATACTAATCGAGCCCACTCAGTCTAAGATCAATAGGACTTCACTTGGTTGTAATGTAGGCTAAGTGACGGGTATGACATATTTAGATATAGTGACTAACCTCCCTAAGCACTTTTTAATACAATTACATTAACATTCAAAACCATATTTCTGTCAACCAAACATTCCACCACTTCTTCTTTTATTTACAACAACCCCATCCAGTAGGTGCAATTATACAAACCACCACTTATCAACCACTATCTTTATTTATAATTTTTTTTCGTGGTGCTTCTTCTTTTATGCTTCAACATTCTGCACATTTTCTCTATTTCAATGGTTCCACTCAAAAACCAAACCACCACCCCACACTTTAGCTTTTGCATATTTTCATTACTATTCGAGTGCTTATTGGGAGGTAAAAAGGGTTCAAACAGCAGGCTATTCAAACAATTGGGTAAGATACGCAATGTGGTTGCCAAAGAAACAGGCTTATAGGCTCAACGGGGTTAACTAAGATGTAATGCATTCAGGTGGATTTACTTTATATGTCCGGCTCAACAAAGAAATTCCTATATCACTTCTAAGACTGAATGAAACTACTATTTCGCTTTGCAAACACACAGGGCAAGTTCTAGGCATCAAATGTAAATCATGGAATACGGTAAAACTCACACACNTTGATTACTTCTTTCTTCACCACTTCCTTCATATTGGGGTTCAGCCTTCTTTGGTGTTCCCTGGAAGGTTTGTGTCCCTCTTCCAGTAGAATTTTGTGCATACAGTAGGTGGGGTTGCTCCCCTTTATGTCTGCCATGGTCCACCCAATGGCAGTCTTGCACTACTTAAGTACCTGCAATAGTTGTTGAGCCTGCACGTCTAACAAACTAGATGAGATAATAACAGGTAATGTGGAGTTAGGTCCAAGGAATTCATACCTGAGATGGGCGGGCAATGGCTTTAACTCCAGCTTTGGTGGTTCTTCGATGGATGGCTTGGCTGGAGGAGTTTCTCTATTTTCCAAGTGCAAGGGCTCAAATTCTAGAGTTCTATCCCAGAACCCTCTACCTTCTAACGCCAACACCCATTCCGCCAGTTCCTCTTCATTCACCTCATGCAAATTCATCAAACATGCAGCAAGGGGGTCCTCAATGGTCAGCCTCTCATCATCGGTCTCTACAATTACATCCACAGCATCAATAAGAGAACAATTGGCGAATTCACTTGGTCGCCTCATAGATTTCTGCACATTGAATGTCATTTCTTCGTCATTCAGTGTCATCTTGAGCTCCCCAGTCTCACAATCAATTAGAGCTCTCCCAGTGGCCAAGAATGGTCTTCCCAAAATTATGGGAATCTCTTCATCCACTTTGCAGTCTAGGATCACAAAATCTGCAGAGGACACAAATTTCCCTACCTGAATCAGCACATCATCCAGGATACCAGAGGGTCGTTTCACAGTCCGATCAGCCAGCTGCAACAACATAGAGGTGGGTCTGGCTCTCCCAATGCCCAGCCTTTTATAAATCGCCAGGGGCAAAAGATTGATGCTAGCCCCTAGATCACACAGTGCCTTAGCAAAAGCAAAATTACCAATAGTGCATGGAATTGTAAAGCTCCCTGGGTCAGACAGCTTTTCAACAATTGGTCTAGTCACCACTGCACTACAGGTCTGAGTAAGAGTAACTGAGGCCAAGTCTTGGAAATCAAACTTTCTGGACATCAAGTCCTTCATCATTTTTGCATACTCAGGCATCTCCTTTAAAGATTCAATCAATGGTATGTTTACCTGGATTTGTTTCAGCATTTCAAAAAACTTCTTGTATTGCTCCTCCTTTTGGTACTTAGCCAGCCTCTGAGGGAAGGGTGCAGGAGGTCTCTTCTTCCCAATCATTTGGGATTGATCTTTATCAGCTGCCACTTCAACTACTGGTTCCTGGGCTGTCTCAGCTTCTTTCTCGGTCTCAAGCTGAGTGCTATTTTCTTCCTGAGCAGGCTGGACTGTCACCTCTGTCAGCTTCGTTGACTCATCCAGCTCAATGGGCACTGGTATGAGTGTCTCAGCCTGTCTAGTTTCTCGAGCCCTCTCTTGCTCCATATCCAGATCTCTGCCATTACGTAGACTCACTGCCATCAGCTGCTTCGGGCCTTGATCTTTTGGATTTATCTGTGTGTCTGCAGGTAGTGTCCCATGAGGACGATTGTTCAGAGACATCGAAATTTGGCCCATTTGCACTTCGATATTCTTGATCGCTGCATCATGTGCGACTACTCTCTCATTAATTTTAGCATTAGACCCAATAACCTGCTGCATCATTGCTTCAAGTCTAGCAAATCCATCTTCTTGCCTTCCACCATGCTGCTGCTGAGGAGGGTGATGCCCCTGCTGCTGATTCTGATTATTATATCCCTGTGGCCTTGTGTAAGGAGCCATATTGTTAGGGGTTCTCATACCTCCCATGTTTCTAGTGTCGAACTGTGGCTGGGCTGGCCTGTACTGCTGATTTTGCTGGCTCCAATTCTAACCACCTTGTCTCTGGCCTCCATAATTAGACACATAGTTCATGTCTTCAGGATAGTGATGATGATCATGTTCTGCATTCCACTGATTACCAATTGGCTGACTAATGCAAGATGCACACAAGCCCCCATTGGTAGTATCCACGATGTGTACCTGTTGCTTCTGCCCTGACTCTTTCACCTTTTTGGTTAGTATACTCATCTGTGTCAATAAGGTGGCCATATTTTCAGCCATAGAGTTAGATGGATCTAAAGGCACTGAGTGAACCACTTGGGTGATAGGTGCATTCCTGGTTATCCATCCTGAATTCTGTGCCATCTTGTCAAGCAGACTNTTCAATCTATATTGCACATGACGCAATTTACCAAATTTAGCTATTATCTTTCTGCATCAGCGCATTCTTTCCTTTCTTTGCAATTACTTGAATTCGCTCCAAGTCATACACCACTTTTGACTGTCTTAAGGAGTTCCATTTTCTCTCAGGCACATCTACAGTGTGGATGTCGTTGCAGTGGAATGCACACCAACAGATTAAAACTAAGAGTCCATAAAAGTGAATCAATAGTCGTGGTTTGCAGTAGATTTTTAGGACGTTATCCCTTTTGGGCTATGCCTTTGCTGCTGCGATTTAATTCTCAGAGTTTCAGTTGGGTGAGCTGTGGAAGAATCTCTCATTGAACTTCTTGGCCGCAATTTTCTCAATGTAATGTCTCAATGCTTTCCTTCTGGTTGGCTTTTGTAGCAATGCAAAGGATTTCGTGTGTCTCAGATTTGGTCTACGGATTTTTTTGAATATTTTCCAAAACATATAATGCCATAAAAAAAATTCTACTACTATTATTACATGGTCAATCCTTAACGGGTTAACAGATTATCCATTAAGAAAATTGAATAATCCGCCCCCAAACCGATAAGCCGTTAATAAAAAAATTTCAATCTGTTCCCCGTCCGTTAAACCGTTAACCCGATACCAATAAGCCATTAAGCTTCGGTTCGGTTCGGTTTTAGATTTCGGTTCGGTTTTGAACACCCCTACCAGAACGAGGATTCTCCAAAGTATTGTTATTCGGAGTAGGTGTGGGCGGAGCAGCAGGTAATTGACTAACAAAAGCTTGTAAAGCCTTGTTGACCTGAGTAGCGATAAATTTTTGTAAAGCTTCATCCATAGCTTCAGCATTTTCAAATTGAGCTTGTCCATCTGTGTGAGATCCCTCAGGAGTTCCTTCACGAGATCGTCGTGGAGAACTTTGTGGAGAGGAACTAATGCATTATTGTCTCGCAGATCTCCCTGAAGTTGTTGGTTTGTCTGGTTTTCATGGTTTCCTTGGATGTTGTCATTGTTGTTCGACATAGTTGACGCAACAAAGAGAATCGAGTTACGATATAACTGATTATCACTAATGCAAAAATATCTACAAATATCTGTAACTGTGCTAGCAATAAACTGCCCTGTGTGACGTGAATTAATTATTCTATAAGCAATAATGCGTTTTTGCATTATCCAATCCTCATCAATCCAATGACTGGTAACAGTAAGGTAATCACATCATTACCACTTCTACCAACATCAGTTGTAAATTTGATCTCACCCAACTATGCCTTATAAAAGGATACGCGGACGTTGCAAATATAATCTGAGTATTTATGCCCAGAGTCGAACCCACAGGGAATTAACCTATCAATTACTTTGGTTGGACTTACTAAATTCTACGGAATCAACTTCCCCAAACGTTGTAAATAACAGTTGATGGTATTACTAATAACTAAAACTACAAGTAAAGAAATAGCTGTAAACTAAATATGCTTGAGTTGTAAACAATGCTGAGAAGGTTCTAAGGTAGTGATTTCCCCTGTTGATGGAATCCATTCCGTTTATGCTTCATATAGATTCACCAAAACATCTCTATCAATCATGAGCACTCTTTTTACCTTAAATCTCTCCCGAGTAATCACGATAATTTACTAGACGCACTCTCCCGAGATACGCTAGCTAGCTTTGTTTATTACAGCTCACTTTAGATTGCACCCAAGGCTTCGTTATCCCTAAACCCGCCTTTAAACCCGCAGTTATAGATCCCTCTTATACTTTGGGAGTGTTGTTGTTCAACAACTACCTAAATATGCACTCTCTCCCGAGTTATGCACACTAAATAGGCACAGCTAATTGAGGATCCTGTCAATTAACTACATCAAACACGTAGTTGAAGAAATAGAGATCAAACTAGCAAACTATATTAACATAATCAAGAAGTTCATCCTTCAATAGGTTCCATCAAAACCCAAGACAAAGGATTTAGCTACTCATACTAGTGTTCATCATAATAATATTCAAATTCATCACAAATCGTAAAAACAAAAGGAAGAAAAGGAAAACTCGTTGGTGAATAATCCTCCTTGCCTCTTGCCTCTCTTTTTCTTTCACTAAACTTATGAAAAACTTGATAATACATCCTTGGGAGAGCTTGACCTTCTATAGGTTAAGTGAATTTTCCCCCAGACTTTCAAGTTTACCCCTGAAAATTGGTCTTCCAGAACTGGACTAGCGCGGGCGCGCTAAGGCCGCGCTAATGCCCGCGCTAGTGGGGTTTTATTCTGCCTCTGATGACTGGACTAGCACGGGCGCGCTAATGCCCGCGCTAGTGAGGTTTCCCTCTGCCATGCCGAACTTCATTCCCTTAATTCGCCCACTAGTTCCAATTCTTGCCTGGATCACCATCATAAGTCTTCATTTGGGTATTGCACTCCTGTGAAACACAAAAGTCACCATTAGAGCCAATTTTTCATCATTTAACTATTTTATAACATTGAAATATGATAAAGCTGGGGTAAAAACAATCGCCAAATTATATAAATCTAGCCTATTATCAAATAGCAATATGACAATTTATATGAGTAAATAAATAGCGCAAATATTGTTCATATTCATGTTTATATTTATAAATATCGCTCTTTACGGTTGACAGTAACCATTTTTACCAATTCTCCCGATCTTTTTTTGGATCATAATATAAAATACCACCGGTAACGGTGTTAATTTCATGTTGAAATTGACTTGAACCGGTACTAGCCAAAGTTCCTGTCCCTACCCCCCCCCCCCCCCCTCGAACCTCCAAAATATTTAGCCTTATTTTGTGGAATTAGTTGAGTAAAAAATGGCCAAACAATAGATTACGTTGTCTAGTAAAAGTAGGGGCAGTAACAGGAGTATCAGACGGGGCATCATCTGGATTATTACTAGTTGGGTTAACTTCAGGAGCAGGACTAGTGGGGGTATCCTCATCCGGTTGAGTTTCATCAAAATCTATTTCCTCCTCATCATTTTCATCAATAGTTGGATTAGAATAAAAAGCATTGATTAACTCATGGTTTAATTGTTCACCAGCTCCAACATTATGGCAAAATTGACTCTCAGTAAATTGTAATAAACTATTATCGCTGTCAAGAATAGCAGGTGTAGGACGGATAATGGGGTTTGGGTCGGGGAGCCGGGGGCAGTGGAGGAGGAACAGATTGGCCACTAGATTCGCCACTCTTGGATTTTCCCTTATTTTTACCAAATTTTTTTTAAGGAAGCCATCATAATTAATCAAATAATAGAAAATAAATAAAACAAACAAAACTATAATATTAAAAATTAAGAGTTGAAACGAGTTTACCGAATTGACAAACAACTTGTTGAAAATTGATTATCGTTGAAGACTTCAATTCACCAACTTCACAATTTTTTCACAAATTGTAACCATAAAGTAAGCAATAGTAGCAATTATAGAAGAAAATTAGAGAGAGATTGATGATTTTGTGAGAAAAATGAAAGAATGAAGGGGTATTTATATTTGAAAATAGGGGAAGTGTAATTATAAAAAGTTTGGGGTTAAAACAAAGGTTTGGGGGGGGGGGGGGGAGGTTGTTAAATGGCTATTTTGTAAATGCCAACGGCTATTTTGGCAGACCAAACGGCTAGTTTTTAAATGCCCAAACAGGCAGATTTTTTTTTTTCAAAATTCTGACCGTTTAGGCAGTCTTGCGGTCTTTTTGTGAAGAATCGGCCCAAAAGACCGGCCCACCCCCACGGTCCCGGTTCTATCCGGTTAAGGCCCGTTTAGGCCCAGAAGCCCACATGGTCCGCGGTCCCGGCCCTGGACCGGCCCACATGCTACCCTTAGTTACAGACTTACAGTTAGTACTTTAGCTCAATTGTCAGCCTTGAAATAATAAGAGAGGGTTGTCATCCCATAAAACAAAAGAAGAGAAAAATATGAGAAATTCTAGGAAAACCAGAGTTCTATAAAGGAGAAGCAAATGCATCTTTGTAGATTCACAAACTGTTTCAGCACTAACATATATACGAGCATAACAATGATTCAGAGTCATCACAATACAAACTTAACTAAGGCTCCTAGATAAGTAGAGCTGAAACACTATGCCAACTGCAGAGAAGTAAACAGCTCAATTTGAGCATGTTTTCAAACTTATCACATCATAAACCGCACTAACTGAGCAACCTTGACATGTGCTAACCCAACACATGAAGTATAAATCATGAAAAATCAAACTTTTGGTCATGGAACCTTTTGCTTTCAACAAAGTTTATAGATGCTCTTTCTGCACTAATTTGCATGCCAGCCAAACTATGAAGACAGAAAAAGAAAACTAACTTTTCACATACTACTTTTCTTCCTAGCACAACTTTTCAGCCTCTTCTAGTCTTCTCCTTTTAATCTTTCCGAGCCAAAAAAAGCGATGAAAAAAATTACTTTTACATTTAGTTGTGAAATGAATGTACAAGAAAGACCTATTTGCTCTGGCTGTCCACCACCAATTTGTTGATCTCAGAATACTTCAGGAAGTGCCCTGCCTTCAAGAAATGACTTGAATAGAACAAGTGATCTCTCTGGTTGAGAGAAAGGAACTTCATGAGCAGCTCCTCTAACGGTGGCAAATGAAAGGATATTATCATACACTATAGTCCATCCACCAACCTAAAATGTGGAGAAAAAGAGAAAGAAGGTGAACCTTTTCATGACAGTAATATCAAAATTATCTATGGTTTTTTATAAAACGGACAGAACTAAAGTTTTACCTGCTGCCCTGCAAACCAAACTCTATAGGGTACAGTTGTGTTAAGTCCCATCCGTTTTGCTAGTTGATGTACGACGGTGCGGCTTCCAGTCAATGGAACAACAGAATCTTGATCCCCACTGTTGTCAAGAATCACACGTTACACTACAATCTTGAATCATAAGAGATATTCAAGAAATGACACATTTATTTACTAGCATTGGCGTTAGATAGAACTCTTCCAACATTACTGAGATTATAATATCGGGTTGTACTGTATATGTACCTGTAAATTAAGACTGGAATTCTCTCCTTGACAAGCAACCCTACTATAGAGATTGTTGGTGTCTCTATGTCAAGTAATTGATAATCCAGAATGCTGTGGCGGCAGAAGGAAAATATTAGTGAATCCTCAAAAAATAGGTAGATCTTTAAAGGTACAACTACAGAACTTATAATTTTGATACAAATTCCTTTCGAGTTTAATTGTAGCAAGTGGTTCGATGTGGACTTGTATGTCTTGGGATTCTAGAGCTATGAAGAAACATATTTCATTTATTTAGCTAATCTATTTGAAGGCATTATATGTTCTTCAGATAATGTCGCAAAAAGCAGATTCTCTGGTGCTCTATTTAGGGAACTTATGAGACTACAATATGCTGACTTTTTTAATAAGATCAAGTTTGTTAATTGACACTGTATTATGCTATTAGGCCCTTTTAGCAAAGCAAGAAATACTGACTTGCTGCAAACATCCCATCTGCGAACTCCAACAAGCCTAGCATGAAGAGCCCTTCTCACATCTTGTCGGTTTAAGTAATTGACAGTTTTATCGTCGATGCAGACGTCTATCTTCTCAGCGTCAGCGTTTTCCTAGTAATTAGTATCAGTGAAACATAGTCATTATAGTTCGATAAGACATTGGAGAAGCCTAACAAAGTAAAGCTGAGAAAGTATTGAGGCATGAACACAGTTTAAGCGTTGACTTACTTGGGGACTTATAATTTTGGATTGAGAGAGCACTGATGAGAGACAGACATCCAGGGTAACGTCATATTTGTCTACGAATTTACTGGTTTCTCTACTTACTAGGCTCATGACTTTTGAACACATTGGTGATACATTATCCCTGTAGTACTCACTCACGTAACGAGAATAATTGCAAAAAGAAGTGAACATTCTGTATGTGGAATCTGATATTAGTCCATGAGACCAGAAGTACTCAGCCCTCGAGTTGAAGTCAGTGGCGAATTCCAGAACTGGATTACCCAGCTGCCACGACAAGAGAGAAAAAGAATAGGATTAAACAACAACTAATTTTTCGATCTCAGATAAAGTTGTCTATGTCTGACCCATAGGTCAGAGGTTTGAGCCATGGAAGCAGCCACGAATGCTTGCATTAGGATAGGCTGTCTACATCACACCCCTTGGGTGCGACCCTTGCCCGGACCCTATGCTTTGTGCACTGGGGTTCCCCGGTACTACAAACAACATGCATTTCATCAAATGAAACACATTGTTAACTTAATCCTACAAGTTTGGATTTAAATGTGAATAAATAAATGAATTCATTAGATGATACTCACTGCAACCCCTTTCAGATTGAACAACTTTTTCTTCTGGTTAAGCTCAATCATGAGCTTGGCAAGTTGAGGTACATAATGGCCTGTAATCAACATATCAAAATATGACTAATCAAGAAAGAGAATGAAAATTAAAAAATGTTAGCCCGGCTTCGGTACTTAGGAATTTCATGTTAATTAATGTGTCCAATAAAAGGATACCTGCATAACTCTCCCCAGTTAAAAATAAATTGCTGTTTCTATACTGTGGGAATTTGTCGAACCAGCTTTGTAAGAACACAACATTGTCCCTAGCTTAAAAACATTAAGAAAAAATAAAGTGGAGCAGCTTTAGGATGTGTAGAAAAATATAGAGCAATTAACTAGTAAAAATTCACAAAGATAAATCAGTAGGATTTCAATATCCTTATCAAAGTTAAAGCTGCTTTGCTTTTCCTTTACACCAAAAAGAAAAGCTATTTAACTACACTAATCAGCACAAAAAGAATGGTGATGGGCATCACATGTGCATTATAGAAAAGATTAAAAGAAACAACAAAAAGGGCAAGCTTTTGGAGATCAACTTTTTAAGTCAGAATAAGAAAATCTTAACGTGCAATCCATGTTTAATGCAAATAAACAGAATGAAACTATAGTTTTAAGTAGCTAACTACCTGTTGTCTCATCATTAACTGTCTCATATGAAGATGTATTAGTTGAATAAGAGAAGCCAACTCCAATTGGAGACTCCAAATACAACATATTTGCCTCTGCAATATTTCAAGAAAAGAATCATTTCTGCTGCTTAGACTGAAGATACCAAAGGGCAGCCCGGTGCATTAAGCTCCGCAGGGTTCGGAAAGTGCCGGACCACAAGGGTCTAGCAGCCTTAGCCTACATTTCTGCAAGAGACTGTTTACGCGGCTCGAACCCGTGGTCACATGGAGCAACTTTACCAGTTACGTCAAGGCTCCCTACCTTAGGCTGAAGATAATAAAATCATTTAAAGAGAAAAAAATGACAAAATTCCTTGAATAGAACAAGATTCACCTTTGTTCCAACTGTACTCATTCTTAACAAGAACTTGTCCATTTGGTCTAAAAGGACCATTTTCAGAGAATGCACCTACACCTAAAGAAGAACAACCAGGTCCTACAATAACAAATGCAAATACTCAAGTTTGAAACTTTATCAAGAAACCAAATGGCAAAAATTCTGATGTCAAATTGTAAAGAAAGTAACTTTTGTATACCTCCATTCAACCACAAAACCAAAGGCTTAGAAGCTGGATTTATTTCTGCTTCAACAAAGTAATAAAAGAGAGATCTTTGTTTCTTATCATCAACAGTAACATAACCTGAAAATTGTTGAAATCCCACTTGGGGTTGTCCAGGCAATAGTATTATTTTGTCTGGATGAGGAAATGCATTCCCAATTCCCACAAAAGCACAAAGAAGAAAGAAGAAAATATACAATGTCATTGCTTTTGAATTTTGCAAAGTTAATGTTGGAAACAAGAAAAGGAGCTAATTGAGTGAATATGGTGTGAGCTAATAGAGTTGAGCTATATACTGTGGTTTAGTGGAGGACAGAAACAGAAAGTCATGGACTTAATAAGTGGGGAGAATTAAATAATTAGCATGCCTAATATAATTACTAGTATTATAATCAAAATGTCATATTTTCTTGTCTGTAAGCATGAAAATGTTGAGCAGAGAGGGACATGTACTAGAGACCAAAATGACCAGAGAGATAAATTGTAGAAATTCTTGATAATTAGCTGGTCCCCATATTTGTATATATTGGTGTTTGTCAGCAGATTTAGCACTCAACAAAGCAAAGAGGGGTTGATTTTCTTGAATGTGAAAGAGAGGGTAGGGACAATGGAGACCCCAGGTATTTGCTTTTGAATTTAGAGTTTGTTCTTAAGTTCTGTTTAGTTTCCCAATAAATGGATATGTATGTAAAATGAAAAATCAGTATATACTCTGTCACTTTTTAGGTAAAGGTATGTTTCTTTCTCCAGAGTAGCTTTACAGTATTACTATCAATGTCTCAGTAAATGTAAGAAAATTACCAGAATAATTGTTATGTCCAGTCTCCACAGAAGAATCTTTTTTAACTTCATCTCCAAGGAAAATTATAGTACCACATTATCGTAGTAACAACTATAACAACATACCCAATATATTTTTACGGTATGGGATCTAAGAAGAGTAATGCACGCATACTTTATCCCTACTTTGCAGAGGTAGAGATGTTGTTTTCGATAAACTATCGACTCAAAAGAAGCATTTCACATCGGGCTTGAAAAAGATAAACAGTAGTGAAGAAGCTGTTATGGATTTTAGAAAAATATGCAAGCAGCAAGAAGGTTGAAAATACGATTGAAAAACTGTCTCTCAAATTTTATTAATCATAGGGCTTTAAATAGCCAAATAAATAAAGTAGTACACTCCTCCTACAACTAAATTACTAAACTCTTACTATAATTAAAATTCTGAATCTTCTAACAGACTCCTCCTAAAACTAAACAACTAATTATTCTAGAAAACTGTAGCAGTAACAGATGCAAAATCCAACAGAAGCTATATTAAAAACAATGAATGCAAGAACAGTAACAACAAGAGGGATACTTTATCCCTACCTTGTGGAGGTAGAGATGTTGTTTCCGATAAACCGTCGACTCAAGAGAAGCATTTCACATCAGGTTCGAAAAAAAAAAAAAGATAGTGAAGTGGAGGTTTCTAATAAACCGTCGATTCAAGAGAAGCATTTCACATCAGGTTTGGAAAAGAAAAACAGTAGTGAAGAAGCTATATTAAAAATAATGAATGCAAGAACAGTAACAACAATAGGGGGCAAGCTATATACCGTCGACTCAAGAGAAGCATTTCACATCAGGTTTGAAAAATATATAACAGTAGTGAAGAAGCTATATTAAAAATAATGAATGTCTTGAACTCGTGACTTCCTGGTCACATGACAGCAACTTTACTAGTTACGACAAGGCTCCTCTTCCAGTAACAACAACAAAATAATAAAACAATAAGAAAACCGACATAAGGGAAACAACAGATAGTAATAAAAATCAAAGGCTAAAATAATACGAAAATGATAATAATAATAATAATAATAATAATAATAATAATAATAATAATAATAATAATAATAATAATATTGATATGGAAAACACAATACTATAAAATCATAAGGTCACTTGAAACAAGTACTATAAAATCATAAGGTCACTTGAAACAAGTATTGAAATTTCTTTAATGCCTTGGATATGAAAGGTCTTTCGGTTTAAGTAAAATTCAACCTATTATATTCTCAATAGATTTAACGGTGCTATTAGTAAAATTTAATCTATTTAGATAATGTAACAATTATCTATAACTGTTTAACAATAGAAGCAACAATATGTGGACAAATAAGACAGTAAAAAAATATTTTGTACTTTACAGGGCATAAGTTGAACATTGGAAAATGAGAAATGATCCAATTAAATTAATAGAAAAGGTAGATCATGCCATATACTCCCAAATCTAAAAGAACAGAGTCTAAACATTATCTTTATGTACTTATCAGGTTGAAGGGCTAATAATTATAGTTTTGAACTTTACTTGAAAAGGGTGTGTTATAATAATGAAGTATCCAAACCATCATGATTTTTCTCAATGCTTTTCACGCACTCAGAAAAAATCCATTATAGCTTCTAAATAGGGTCCCCCACCCCCCATCCCCCACCCCCACCCTTCTGAAATTAACAGTAGGAACCTTTACAAAAGTTGCATTTTTTTTTTCAAATTTCCTTTTTCCCACTTGCTCAACTGCCCAAAGAAAAACAGATAGACTTATACTCCCTCCGTACCGGTTTATGTAAACTTATTTTCTTTTTGGTATGTTTCAAAAAGAATGACCCATTTCTAAATTTGGAAATAATTTAGTTTAAATTTTTAATTCTACCCTTAATGAGAAGCTTTTTATAACCATACAAATATTATGGACCCTTTTTTGACTTGTTCAGGACCACAAATTTTAAAAGTCTTTATTTTTCTTAAATTTCGTGTCCAGTCAAACAGGTTCACATAAATTGGAACGGAGGGAGTGGCATGTTTGGCCAAGATTATTTTTGAGTCAAAAGTGTTTTTTTTTGTTGCTAAAAGTGCTTCTTTCCAAAAATTTAGGTATTTGGTTAAGCTTTTAGAAGGGAAAAATATGCTTTTGAGGAAAAACAGAAGCAGTTTTTGAGAAGCAAAAAAAAAATAACTTCTCCCCAAAAGTTCTGAGAAGCACTTTTGGGAAAAGTACATTTAGAAGCAGTTTTTAAAAGCTTGGCTAAATACTAATTACTGCATAAAAGTACTTTTCAAATTAATTAGTCATACACAAATTGCTTATTACCAAAAATACTTTTTTGAAAAGTACTTTTGAGAAAAATACTTCTCAAAATAAGCTGATTTTAGAAGCTTGGCCAAACAGGCTACTACTATGTGTCGAAAAAATAATAATTCCGAGATAAAGTTTAGGTTTAACTTTATTCCATGTTTGGTTTGAGGTAATAGCTAATCTTAAAATAACTTTTACACTAAACTGGTAAGATTAGTTGTCACATATAAAAGGTGAAATAACTAATCTCATGGGATATCCTACCCCATAGAATATTTTGAAATATCTCACTATTGTACCAAATGACCCCTTAAAGTTTAGACCTTTTCCCCGTTAGAGTTGTAACATTAAAAGCCTAATGCCTTGACGCATCCCCAAAAGCAATTGGCAAGACTTATCTTTCTACTTTTGATGCAATGGACTCCCCAAAGCCACTAAATCGCTCTCTTCCATCCGATTTGAATTGAACATCGTTTTAGTGAAATTTTTTTTCTTTTTTAAACTAAAACTCAGTTGCCTATCTGATCCTTGGTCTAATTGGGCCTTTCTCTATAGGTCGAATCGAATAGCTGGGCTACTCCTTTTCTTGACTTTCATTTGATTGAAATAAGTGTATGTTTATTTACTCACACGATATTAATTCAATTTTTATGGAAAAGGCATGTTAATATAACTTGCTATTTTTTCCATGCGTTGTGCTAAAACATCAGACTCATTTATCTCGCTTTTAAAAAACATTACAAAAAAATTGGAAAGACACGAGACCTAATGGATGGCTTTGACTATAAATCTATAATTATGTGAGTTATGAACACAATACATTGTTGAAAAAATGGAACATAACTACATTGAGACAATCTTACAACTTTAGTAGTACAATTACTAGTTGTTAACACAAAAGTCAAAGAGACATTGAGTTTTCTATTTTTGGTAGATTTAACCTTCCCTAACTAACCTTGAAAATAAGTCACCTAATGGTGCGACAAATTAAAAGTGTAACTCACCAATAAAATATATATAGGAAAAGACCAATGAAACTAGTCTTTAGCGCCTATAACCACGCCGCTCACGCCGTCGACACGATTAGCTTTTCTGTTTGTATTCATACAATTTACATGTGGGTGACTCTTTGCACGCTAAACACAGTACTGAGTACTCTTTTGTTTTGTTCTATTTTTTCGTAAAAATTTAATTTTTATACCAAATCACATCAATTTATTATGATTAGATAATATAATGAAGTGAGAATACATATTTGTTTGACCAAAAAAGTATTAAATCTTTTGATTAAATCAATCAATGATGAGAAGAGGAGTAAATCTTAGTTAAGGATAATAGATCTAGATCAAATGATAGATAAAATAATAGATGAAATGGAAGACGTTGGTTAATACGTTTGAGTCGATTGAATGTTCATAAATGCAGCAGCATAAATATGCAATCAACTTAAGTAAATGCGAGAGGCGTAATCATATGAAGTTGCTACCCAATTATTGAGATCTCTAGGAAAGCTTCTTTCCTCGGTAACAGAGTAGAAAAAGAAGAGATATGAGATGATTGAGGAAAATTTGGACCCTGTCAATGTAGAACAATGAAGTATATTTCTTGCATTCAATGAATAAGGCCTTTCTAGTATATTCACTCAGTTGAATCTGTTATAAAGTGTTCCTTTGTCTCTTTTTCCCGGATCCCCATCTTCTTTACTAACCCTTCCTATTTATAAGGGACAATCTCCCAAGAAACCCTAAAAAGTACAATATAAAGAATATTCAAAAAACATATTCTTACTGTCTCCTATTAAGTTTAAACTACCATTGACATCTTGTCTCGACTGACCGCTCTTGGTCGTCGTCCTTCATCACGACGACCATCAGATGTTGCGTTACGATAACCTCGTTCCTCATCCTACTCGGTAACTGTCGTGGTTGCCAAATTTGGACCTATACAGTTAGTCCCTCCGCTTGTTGAGGTTGTGTCCCTGTACGTCCTTGATAAACGGACATTGCCTATACCCGTGGAGAAATTTAGCTGTTGAATTACGCCGGTTTGACGAGGAAAGAAAGAGCGGTGCGTTCCACGGTATCCTGGTTGGTGTAGCTTTATCGGGAAATGACATCACTCCCACGTGCGTCATCATTACGCGTCTTCCCGAGACAGAGACTAATTGCTTGTCGCTTTGGTTTTGGTGCCATTGGCAGCCTCCCGC